AGTTTTTTCTTTAATTAAGCTTAATTCACTTCTATATACTATAAACCTTGGTTAATAACCGTTTTCTTTTAAGATACAATAAAGACCTTAATTAAATAGTTAAATATAATTTCTAATTCCAAAATGATATTTATAAAATGATAATTTATTTATATTTTTAGACAAATTTATTATAGTTTATGCTTGATTGATTGTATTGAATATTAGTTTTATTGCTAATGAAATACAATCAAAGTTGCATGTTATTAGAATAAGAGGATAAACATAAATTTATAAATACAAATGTCTTCATTAAATAATGATTTAAAATAAATTCATAAAGGTTTAAATTTAAAATAGATAATATCATATCAATATGAAGATATGTGTGTAGGAATTTTCAGTACATGATAAATGATATCACAATTGATGGATTTGAGTGGATGATCAGCTCAAACGAGTATGATGGAAGCGTTGAACATAAGATTCATTGTATGAGTAGAGGATAGTGCAAGTACCTAGACTATAATTTATTAGTTCTATAAGTCATTATTAAATACTTGTGAACTAAAAAGATAGTTTCTACTGCATGAAGAGGTTAAATTATGTCCCTCATCAAAAGAGCAACATAACTTATAAACACACAAATATCTTCATTAATAAAAGACATTTTGAATGATGATCAAAAATAATATCATAAAGGCGTCTAAAGTAGATAATATCGAACAATTGTGGAGATATATGTGTGTATGTGAAGCCCCAGTGCATAGCATGAGGGTATCAAAGTCGATGGTTTAACTAGGTGATCAATTCAGACAAGTATAATAAAATTGATAAGTATTCACTCATATGGATCATCATTGGAGTACTTGTGGAGCTTTCTGCGAGGAAAAAGGGTAAATCATGATACTTTATTTGAGGAGTTGTTGGAATATAATTAAAAGCTTAGATAGTTAGAACAAGAAAATAAACATAAATTTATAAATATACAAATATTTTCATTGAAAATAAACATTTTAGATAATGACAAAAATAAAAATCCATAAGAGCCAAAGTAAATATTAATGTAAAAGTATACGTACGGAAAACCCTAGTACGCAACTAATACATATATAAATATCTATATCTATTTTCGAAGAATCACATCATTCTAATATATATCTAGCTATACCATTTTAATTCATCTTTATTCATGTAACTAATTAAGAACATCTTCTATGATTTAAATTATGATGATAATCAATTTATACACAGGATTATAATTATTGGAGTTTTAATTTGAATTTGAATTAAATGAGACAGTTATTCTATTTAAATGAAAGAGACTAGATCACACCGACCAATATTGATGTGTTGCACAAAGGTGAAAAACAAACAAATTAATTCATTTAATATTGAGATAGCTACCCTTTGACAGAGAGGACCTATGGGACCTTTGTGATGAAAATCCATTTAAGAGAGTGAAAAAGAAAAGTCACTGGTTATCTATTATATATGTGTTGAACTTTTCACCGATTCATCGTCCTACTGTAATATATATATATATACACCTTTGTAACTTGTAAGTGGTTGAGAAACTTCAGGGTTACTTTAAAAAATAATAACAAATTTTTATATCATTTTATTACTAATATAATAATAATACTTTCACAATTATTACTGAGGTAATCATGTTCATGTTTTAAAATCAGTCTAACAAAAATTTAATTTATCTTTGATATAAAGGAGTGGGAAGTGAAAAAAAATCACATAAAAGAGTGTGTTATGTGATGGTTAACACAGATCATATTTTAAATTAGTTATTTTACCTCTAACTCCTTTTTTCTCCTTTAATTACGAAATGCACATGTTAAATAAATATTTTTTTAGTAAGCAAATTTAATTTCCTGCATTAAATTTTGAGTTGGGAGCCAGTCCTATCTTTTACCAAAGAGTAGTTTGATTCATGATTATCATTAAACTGTATTTGGCTAAAATGAACATGCATGCACTAGGAAAAAAAAACTATTTACTTTATCTTTTAGTTTTTATAATTAAAAATATTATAATTTAATATATATATATATTATTTTTGTTTTTTTAGTTTTTATAGTTTTATAAATTTTACCTTTTTAGTCCTTATAACATCTTTAAATATAGATTAAAAGATAAAAGTTGTGAAATTATAAAAAAAATAGAGTAATTAAACCAAAATTAAATTAAGAATAAGAAGGGTCAACGCATGAACTTTGAGTGTAGATTGATGAGAGCCATATCTGTATTATGTTTCTTAGTTAGCAGTAACATCAGAAATTTAATACCTGATTTGGCTATAAAATCATAAATCCTTTTCAAGTATTATATACTTGGAAACCTAGAATCCTCCTATGGATGCTCAACCATAGTTTATCAGCTTAAAAAATAAATAAAATTCAGACCATAGGCTGGACAAAGATATAATTAACTACTGATAGTTAAGCAAGTGGCTGTTATTGTAGTTTCAATACTAATTAGTTAAAGCATGCCATATGTGAACAATGTAATGACCCACTTCTTAAATGTGGGGGCATGCTAAATCACTTGTTTAATTTAGGTTTAACATAATAATTACTACTTTTGAACAATGAAAGAATGAAAACCAGAACCTTCATTCAAATCTATTTCTAATTATAAGTAATACCATGTGAATAATTTGCCAAATACTCCCATCATTTCTGTTCTGACGCATGACAATCTGAACGAGTGCTGCGAACTTATGCAATAAATGTTTGGGATAATAAACACCAAGAAAAGTCAATAAACGATTTCAGCCACGAAATGTTCCACATAAGCGATTTACATTGTTGATGTAGTGGTCACCGGTCTCCTGTCGTGAAGAAATTCTTCCGAACATAGTATGTACAAATAGTACATGTTAAATAAAAATTCGTGGACCGACCTTCATCATATTCATATTCAATTGATTGATCTTATGGTTAGTTTTCAAATTTTATGAAATTTAATTTAAGCTTTAATTTGATTAAAAAAAATGATGTGGAGACTGATAATATTAACGTAGTCAAAATTTTGAAAAAAGATTAGTTTTCAGTAAATTTGATGAATATTATCATGATAAAAGAAAACACTTAAATAATGTTAATTAGTGTGCTCATAATGACTTTCAATGTAACTTTTCAATAAATAAAAAATTCTTTTCTTTTATATATATATTTTATCTAATATTCTAAAAATATCTTTTAATAAGGCTCAAATCTTCATCACGTAAGCTAATGAACTAACATAGTAATTAGATATCTTGTCCTAATATGTTATGTAAACTGATGAGCTGACATAGTGATTAGATGCCTTGTCCCAATACATTATACATTAAGTAGATGAGATATCTATTTAACAAGAGTTTTATGTTCAATTTTTGTTGTGTAAAAACTTTTTAAGTCAACTACAATTAAAGTGTTATGAGAAAAATTAACTCATTTAATAAGTTGAAAATATTTGTACAAAACAACAATAATATCCTTAATTTTTGGTATAGAATAAATTATATTGGGAAGAAAATGTTTATTACCTTGTGTGTCCGACAAAGATTAATCTGCTTCTGATGGTGAATATTTTATATAAATATTATGATTAAAAAACTTAAATTAATTGAATAATTACAATTTTCATATTTATCACATTCTCATTGGCCCTTGCAACACAATTGAAAATGCGGTAAATCAGTTAGTCTATTCTTATAATATAAATTTGAATTTTCAATTTTTAGTGCGAGTATATATTTTTAGTAGTTATTCTCATTTTCATTGAGTTCATATGTCTTATTCTAACATTATATGTACATTTTGATTATTTCATCTGATTTTTTAATTTTTTATTATATATAAATATATTACTTATTGCTTAATTTTAATAATTAACTATTTTTATAAACCATCTCAAACCACTCTTTTTATTTCTTTTTTCTTCATCTATATATTTGATTGTTAAACCTTTATTTTTTTTAATTTTCATATGTGTTTCTACATTAAATTCCAATAATTTTTTTAAAGAAATTGTTAATATTTAAAAAGCCCTGTATTACAATGTAAATTATTTATTTGTAAGTTCAAAAATATAATTTATATATATATATATTAAAAACTATATTTATTATAAATTTTTATCGGACAAAAGTAAATATTTATTCTGATCATTGCATAAGCTATAAATACTAGTAAAAAAGATGTACCAATATGACAATTAATAAATTAGTCATTTTCATATCCAACTAGTTTATGACTCAATAATAATAATTAAGATATTAAATGTAATTGATTTCAAATTAGGTTTATTATAAGAAAATTTTCTAATAATTGTATCTAGAGTTCCAAATTTTCTGAGCTTGACCCTACTTTCCAACTTTACTTATATATGAATAAGGTAGAAAAGTAGAGAATTAATTTATAATATTGAAATTTTCATCCTCTAAGGAGCACAAAAATTTTACGGCGGATAAAACCAAAGGAATAGATATATTATCATATATACATACCATCCATAAAGGAACATGAAGAGTTGTACAATGTTTAGTTACTTTGTACTCAAATGTTCCGGAGAAGATCTATTTAGCAAAAAAAAATTGAACTCAATCTTCATTATGTGTAAAAACTTTTGGAATTAGTGGTACTCACACTTTCAATATATTATGAGTAAAACTAATCTTTAATTTAATTAGTGAGTTAGAAATATTTATGGTAGGAAAAAAAAATTGATCCACAAAGGAGTACAAAAAAACTAGCTTCAATGCAATTTGGATATAATTTAGTAATTAGTTACCAATTTTAGCATATTATTTGGATCATGTAAAAAAAAAAACTAGCTTCAATGCAATTTGAAACTATTTTTAAAAAAGAATTAGTTGAGTCCTCCTTTAACTGAACGCTTGAACGTGTACTGCCGAAGCAAAAAAAAAAAAAAAATACTTAACCAATAACTAATGTTACTTGAAATCAAAGGAATTAATTTTCGATTAGCAGTCGAAAGATATCCGATGAAAAGAAATAAAATAAAATAAAATGTTTGACTTTTTGTATTCTACAGGATCTTATATAGTTTTCTCATTAATAATTACAATTCTACAATGTTACTCTAATGGCCATCCTCAATTTAGAGGATCAAATTGCATAAAGTACAAACTATAATACTAGAGAAGTATAGGAGGGATGAAGAGGAAGAGGGGGCTAACAACTAGTCCTACAAATCCTAAGCAGAAAATGAAAAATGGTATAAGAAGAATATCTTAATATTGTTTCTAATCAAATTCAAACCATGAGTAATTGTCTTTGAGCTTCAATCCTCAAATCCTCCTTCATCCTTCTAATGAAGTCGTCAAATTTTTTGTTCAACTCCTCAGTACTTAACACATAGTTTGGTTCTTCTACAACTTCTTCCTCTTCAACACTTTCTCCAATCATAAACTCATCATTTTCTGATTCCTTGTCTTCATCACCAGCACCAAATGATCCAATTTCTCCACATGGCTCCTCCTCTTCTTTCAAACCTGATTCTCTATCCCCTTTTCCTTTTTCTTCACCTTCCAAAACTATGTCTCCAATGCTTTCTTCTCCTTCTTCTTCACCATAGTACTTGATTTCTATTGCATGTTCTGCTTCTGTATTCTGTTCATCAGGCTCATGATTTTTCTCCATGACTACCTTCCCCACCAACATTATTGGCTCATTAGCCTGAACATCTGAGTATGAAGATTGTGATCCATCTTCAACATACTTGTAAGATTCACCAACACTACTAGACTTAGATAAAGATCTTGTTATGCCAACAAACACAAGGAGGCCATTGCACAGGAGGAACATGCAGTTCTTGTCTATGGTGTGGGTGAATAGTTGGAAGGAAAATGTAGAGAAGTAGAAGTTGAAGTGGTAGAGGAAAGCAAGCAAGGAAGATGGAGGAATGAAGAAAGAAAACAAAGATAATGAGACTAACAATTGGATGAGCTTGATTAGATAGTTATGAGCTTTTGTGCTTTGAGTAAAAGCTGATATTTTGTGGGTTTTGGTTTGATCCATAGCTTCAATTTTGCTACAGAATGAAAGTGGAACTAATGAGAGTTTCTGAATGGAGTTGTGAGATGGGAATGTTGGTGTGTTAAGGCCATGAGGCATGAAGGCCTCTCTTATATAATGCTTGTGACTAGAGGGAATGATGTTTTTTTTTTAATTTCCAAAAATGCCCATGGTTGGCAAATTATTATGAAGCAGGTGGCATAAATTGGATGTTATCCCACCTCCCAAAACTTACCTGCTATTCAGGGCTTTTGTAATAAATGACGATAGGTACTTTAATGGGACATGGCCAATTTTCAAGTTACTATTTGTCACATAAATCGGCAAATGGTTATTCATGTTCACTAGTTTTGAGTTTGACGTGACAAAATGGCTTCATGTGGGGTTTGAGGAAAAAAATCAAAGATATTGAAAAAACATTCAAGTTTCACATCTAGTAGATATAAGAATAAAATAGAATGTACAAGCGAGGAACTTATTTTTTAAGTGAATTTTGTGAGGTTAAGTTATAATCAATTCTAAATTCTCTAATTGTATTAACCTATTTTATATCTATTTAAAAATGATCACCTACTATTTACACACATACTAAGCCTAGTACTAGTTAAGTTAGGTTAATCTCACATTCTAAAATATGACTCGGAGGGGGAAATAAAAAAAACCTAAGTCAACAACCTTAAATCTACCCTATATTAGTCCTAAATATAATTTAAAAATTGCTTGCTAAATGCTTATGGACAATTCATACGTGCGGGGCACAAAGGTCAAACTATGTATCCACCAGACCAATTATTTCAAGAAGAGTTCCGATGCTGCAGGTGAAAAATCTATTAATGGATTTTGCTTAGGAATTAATCCAAGCTACATTGCTAATTTGGTTTGTTTTGTTATAACCAGAGAGCCTTTGGATGTAAGTCACTATAATAATAACAATATGATTTATGTTATCCTTTTCTGTCAGTCTTATCATGATTATATTGAAATTAGGCAGCAACTCAGCTAGTTATTTGTTAACTCACTTTGCTGTCACAGCAGCAACAAGTAATGCTCACTTTACATCGTGGCAACTGGTGTGCCTCATCATGTTATTTTTCCACCATACCTAACCAAAACGTTGTAACTGCAGCAACAAAAGAATAATACACATTACACAGGCTTCAATTTTTTTTTTGTTATCATGTTATCAATTCATGTCATCTTGCTGTGTTCCTATTCATTCTACTTTAAACACTCAAGATTATTTTGGAACAGTAAACAACAAGATTGTAACTAGCAAAACTGAACACTAACAAATAAAGGTGGGACCCACGTGAATGTTATCCAATATTAGGAGTGTTTTCGGAACCATTTTTTTGCTACTTGAAAATGCCATTGGTGTTAAGATGTGGTAACAGGCTAAATTTATGTCCATTTAGTTTAGGATTGGGCAGCATATAGATTGGAGAAAAAAATGTAATTGAGAGTGCCTAACATTGTTTATAATTTTAGTTTGCTAGATTGCATTTCAAGCTTCCCCTTTTGCTGCATTGAATTTGAGAACTAACCTTATGGTGGATGATTTTAGTAAGTTCTAATAACTCCCCTATTGTTAGACTAGGATCTCTCATCTTCAGTACTTATTTTTCTATTGGATTCTAGTCATTCTACCTCTTGTTGATATGATATGTTACAATTGCATCTTCAGCCTCTATTTTTGTAGGTCCCGACTTTAATAGGGTGACATGTAATATATTTTATGCAGAAATTTCAAGGTTTGCTATACTCAACAGCAACGATAGGTTGATTCCTTAAGCTATATCATGTACGCCACTAGTCTTGTATTGAGTTGTTCTGCTTCTTTATATAAATGATTAAGGGTTTTTTAAATAAATTTCTCCAGAACCAATATTAGGAGAGAAAAATAAGAAAAATAAAATAAAATAAGTTCCTTTATAACTTAAAATTAGCTGAAGTTTAATTTTTGGAAAAGCTTTTTTTTTTTTTCTGGAAAAGTTTATCCAACTAAATCCTAATCCTCTTATCTTCTGGTGATCCTTTTCTCTTTCATTGAAGTGTTGTTGTTATATATGAAGGATGGATGAATTGGTCATTTGAATGGTTTCTATATTTATTATTTGTGGTTCTGATGGGAAATGTCCCTGTTTGTGGATACATGTTATGCTCTTTTTTATTTTATTCATCCACTGTAGTTCTATAAAACACCACAGCGCAGGGGTTCCACCTATGAAATTCTAATTTTATAAGTATTGGGTACAAATACTCTATGATGTAATTAGCTAATCAAAGCTTTCTGATAAGTCATCGGAATGTGGTTGGAACTATCCAGCTGTAACAATTTTGATCCCTCATTTTTGTTTTTATCTATAGCAAAAGAGTTGAAAATTTGCAAAAAAAAAAGTTCAAACTCCATTGTTGACTGTATGCTGACTTTTGTATATAATATTGCGGTGCCTAAAAAAGCAATAGAGCTTTATCTGGATGTGAGAAGGTTAGTTGGAGAACAAAATCAAGCGTGTGCATACTTTGTCTTCTGTGACTTTTGGTTTGACATCTGTTTTGCTTTTTAATCTATTTTCTACCTTTATTTTAATAGTTTGCTCTTCTTCTTTTATTTTAGAGTTATACTGAACCATACTCAAACAAGCTGGTGTTGATGCTTCTTGGAACATTCAGCTCAGTTTTATGAAATAATTGTATATACTGATGAACAGAATATGGTTACCTGATAATGTTTCTTCATTTACAGAATGGATACACATTCTTCTTATTAAGAGTATTCATATGTTGATACTATTGTTGATTTCTGCTGTTTGTAGACCTTGTTTTAGATAGATTGGATACCAAACATTACATAAGATATAGGCAATCAAGGCCTGATGCCAAATATTAGAATGGAAAACATTTTAGAATAGGTTTGTGCTAATGTTTATGTGTGAAAAGAATACTATTAACACTCTTACATTTTCTTTATTGTAGGATGAAATTTATTGAAAATCACAATTATTTTGTGAATCTAACATTCTCTTTATTGTATAGTCAAATTTATTAAAAATCATAATTTTTGTGAGTTTTGCATTTCATTTAACAAATTTCTCTTCTAATTGAGTGATTAGAAATCACATTCTCTCATGTTCTCTGTTGATTATGAACATATTTTTAGTTTTGAGCGTTTTTTTTATTTTGAGCATTTATATGTGTAGCACAAATTATATTAATTTGTGCATCAAAACTTTAGTATAGGGGTGGCAATCCTGCTACATGCTATTACACTATAATTCTTTTAGTGTCTGCCCCTTTGCACCACTTTTGGGATTGATAACTATGCTTATAGTATTGTGTGTGGCTCGTCAATCTTGTTATTTTTTTTTTTTGTACTGCTGGACTGTAGTGTTGTTCCATATGTGCTTATAACAGGAAATAGATTCTCCTTTTGTTCACCTTACTTGGGACTGTGGGAGGACCTTACAAAGTTAAGAGCATGTTTGAGTACAAGTCTATAAGTGCTTTTAAGAACTTTTAAAAATAATTCTTTATTTTTAGTAGAAAAACTCTAAAAATGTTTCTAACTTGTATCTAAATAGATATATAGCAAAGGTTCTTTATTTAAGTGGCCAACTGGCCATGGTTTGGAATGTTGCCTCTAATTTGAGGACTGTGTCCCTATGAAGCCATGGCAGCAGCATGATATAAATGAAACAACACTTTTTGCTATAACTGTTGTGACATTTTGGACTTGCAAAAGTTGCATTAAGGCCAGTGCTAGTAGCATCTTACCAGGGATGTTTGATTCATGCTGAATTCATTAGGCGCTCTAAGGATCATTAGAGGTAACCTTTTAACTTCTGCCATGTTTAAGCTTTACAACAATTTCAAATTGGATTTTTCCCAGATTTTATATAAGATGTCTCGTCTAATAATTAAGTTAATAGGTAAAAGCTAATTTTCCCTTTTTAAATTTAACTTGTAAATGTTGCTAGCTTTCCTATATGTTGAGTATGTAGTTGGAGGTAGATATGATGTGAGGAGCTGTGGGAATTATGCTGGTGTAGCATTTTTCAGTTTGTTCTTCTGATCTTATCCATGTGTGGAGAAATAAGGTCTATCCTGATATTAGACCTTATTTCGGATATAACTGTCTATAGATAGAAATTTTTTTAAATATAAATATTTTAAAACAAATATGTATTCTAATATAAAGTAGATACATGTTTTACCAAAAAAAAAAAATAAATACACAAATTTTAAATATTTTAAATAATAAATACTTATTATAATAAAATGTAGACAAAAAGCCCCTCATCATAGAATAAATATTTCTTTTGTCACAAAGATGGAGAAGGCAAAAATCTAAAACAGTAAGTCGGTGATGAATTATGTAAGCGTCGAATTTAATTATATATATATATATATATATATATATATAACATTTTTTTGGGCCCAAAATTTATGTGCTCGTACCTATACACCTCTAAACAGTGTTCAGAATTGGGCCTGATAAGTGTTTTAATGGTGAATTTTTCCTTTATATACAATTTTTTTAAAATATAAATTTTTTTTTAACAATTTTTATCTCATTGAATGATACTTTTTTTAAAATATTCTTTATTAATGCTTGGATATTTTTAATTGTACAATTTTTTAGACATTTATAATGAAAATAATTTTTAAAAAAAGCATTATAAAAATAATAAAATTTAATGTAATTAACTAATGTGTGAAATTAATTTTTTTTATTAGTAGAGAACTAGGAATTTTATTTTATTTTTGCACGTAGAGAACAAGGAAGTTAATCTATTTGATTTGTGGATTTGTGCGCATTTAATTATCTGCACTGTATGTTGCAAGCTTTAAATACTTCCTCCATTAGACCATGGACGTGACATAAATTTTGTTTGTTGAGACAGTTTATTTCTTCCCTAATGATACCATGATGAAATTATGTCAATATATCGTATTCTATATATTGATCACATTTTGGGGATAGAAGACTTTTTGTGACAATGTTTCCAAATGATTCATATACAGGTGTATCACCATTATTTTTTTATATAGAAAAAAAAAAATTTTAAGAGCATTT